GATCCTGCCTGGGACCGTAGGGAAACCCCCACAACTAAACCACGACGATCTCTTTATCATGTTCGCAACATTGCAGTTTAATCAACAGACACGTCACACTGACTCAAATGCCCCAGCTTCAGTAACAGTGCTGATACTACAATTTATATATATATATATATATATATATATTATTTTTGCCCAGTTTTTACAGTGCACAGACACATTTTAGTCATCACTAGGCTATTTTAATCATATTTCAGGAATATCACCTACAGTAGGCATTTTATACTAATTAGTAGTATAACAGTATTACTTTGTATTATCTGTATTTTCAAAGAAGTTCACTGTTGGAAACACTTTAACAACTTAATCCCACAGACAGTTAAAATTAATGCACTCCAAAGGACTGACAGTACCTATGATCTATTGCCATAAAAATATGTAATCAGTTTAACTTGCAGGTTATTTTAGGCAGATAACTCGGTCTTTACACTTGTTTACACTTTACAAGTGTACACAAGTTGATATACATCTATTATCTATACCAGTATTATTTAGTGGTATCTATTTTGTACACCTATTTTTGCTCATTTAGGGAAAAGACTAGCAATTTTCCACCCACAGGCTCTAAATATGTAATCAGTTTAACTTGCAGGTTATTTTAGGCAGATAACTCGGTCTTTACACTTGTTTACACTTTACAAGTGTACACAAGTTGATATACATCTATTATCTGTACCAGTATTATTTAGTGGTATCTATTTTGTACACCTATTTTTGCTCATTTAGGGAAAAGACTAGCAATTTTCCACCCACAGGCTCTTTTTTTTAAACTTATGTCCCTTGTAGTCATTGTTTGTATGCTTAGAGGAAAAATACAATTGTTTTTTAAAATGTTTAATGCATTTACATTACATATATATATTTTTTTAATAGTGTTGATAATATAATGATACAGCTGAGATGACACGGTTTTAGTGTGGGCAGTTGAACTTAAAATATGTTGTATGTTAAGACATTGTGACATTTTGCTGGTGTGTCCAGGGCTGAATTTTGGGAGAAGCTGAGTTTTTATGCTGCCAGCTCTACTGAGTTTTTAAAAGTAAAAGTCACCAGAGTAGAGAAGTTAAATTGTGGTGTGTACAGAATTAAACAACTAGTTAGAAAAAAAACAAGAATACATTAAGTCAGTCATGCTTTATGTGCTTACGAGTTTGAGAGAGTGTAAACGTGAACTTGCAGGAAATGAAGTCTTACACTTCAGATCTCCTGACCAGAGGCTGTAATATACACACTCCGTTTTAATATGGGGCTTATTTATCAGTTAATGGTGCGGGTAATTTTATGAGATACTCCATGTTAATTTTGTCATACACCATGCCAGCATTTTCTGAGTTTGCCATTAACTGTGCAATAGTGGTGATGTGACAAGTTAAACTGAATTAATTTTTTATTTTACTTTTTTTTACAATAAAAACTTCAGTGGTGTTCTTGTTTTGGCCTATTGTGATGTGCAGGAGCAAATGTGCGGTCACATGCACACAAAATGTCTCTGTGACATCACCTACACTCTTTTAATGATTACAGGGAAAGTAGTGTGTGTGTATGTGAGGGCTGCATTTTTTTTTTGTATAAAGCAGGCCAGTCCTAACTCTGAGACTTAAAGCTCTGATATTGACTGTTTAGAGTATCTCTCTAATTAATGATAGGTTAAGTTTGGGTTTGATGCGGTGTATTTGCAGTGTTGCAGAGCTTTCTTTGATCAATGCCTGTGTGTAACAGTGAGAGGTTGCAGTCAGGGCACAGGTGTGTATTGCTGTGTGTAGTTTCAGCCGTACTCAGGTGCAGCAGTGCCGTACAGGTGTGCAGGCTTGCCTGCTGTCATTCTTTCTTTGACTAAATATTTACACAGTCTGAGTTTTTTTTTTTTTTTTTTTTTAGATTGCAGAAAATGTGTTTGAGAGAGACAAACACACACAGACAGACAGAGCTTTCATAACTACAAATGCAGAAGTGAAGTTCTATTACAGGGTTTGAATATGAATGCTGCGTGTATATTATTTGCACACGACAGAAGTAATTAAGTATTCATGTTTTTATTGATTTTTAACATTTTATGTTTTTTCTGCAAAGTTACTTGCTTCCTACTTCAGTGATCTTAAGTTAAATGTGTGAAATAAAATGTGTAATTTTGCTAAATTTTCTTTTGATCATTTAACTGACAAAATAATTACATGGGCGGGTTTCCTGCATAAGGCGGAGTCTCTCGGAGTGTGCGAGCGTGTCACATGCTGATGTTGATGGAGGAGTGGAAGGTGATACCCTTTGACCCTGAGGTCATGTGAGCTCAGTAAAATACAAGCAGAGAGAGGTTAAATGTTATACATTCATTCACACCCCCTCTCACTCACAGAGACTCGTTTAGGGGCTCTGACGGTCCTCCGCGCGCGCACACACACACACACATATGCACATGACCACTTTCTAAGTTATCAAAGAGTTGTGTGCTCATGTATTGCTTTGTATATATTCAAATTATATAATTACAGCACGACTTAAAATTATAATGTAATATAGTGCACGTAATGTGCACTTATCTTTTGGGATTATGATGTTGCTAGTGCACAAGATTAAACACCAAAATGGAGGCTTGGCCAACTACACACATTATAGAGTTGAAAGAACTTTTAATATCCCCTTGATGGTAACTCTTTTTAAAATATATTTTTAAGCATAAAAATAACCCCACATATTTTTTAAATTGTTTGATTTATGGAGTTTGAGTTGTCTAACCAGGCTGTATTTTGTCTGACCTGCTGTTACTCAAATTCGTTCTAAATGTTTGTTTTTTCTAAGTCTCTTTTTCAGCTCTGATAGTTGTCTGATAACTTTGGTGTGACTGGGTCTTTTTTTTCTTTCTCCATGATAAAAATTAATGTGGTCAGATGCTTCCTGTGAAGTTACTCATTTATAATATCTTAGCATAAGGCTTGCTCTGTGTGTGTGTGTGTGTGTGTGTGAGAGAGAGAGAGAGAGAGGGAAAAGAAACGTGGGGAGTTGGTGAAAGGAGGGGGGAAAGCGTTTTCTCGTCAGTCTCTGTTTTTGTGCTACACGTGTATCTCTGGTTCACATCTAAAAGAAATGCATAATTTTTTATTTTTCTGAAAAATATCTAGTGGATTATGGAGTTTGAGTTGTCTAACCAGGCTGTATTTTGTCTGACCTGCTGTTACTCAAATTCGTTCTAAATGTTTGTTTTTTCTAAGTCTCTTTTTCAGCTCTGATAGTTGTCTGATAACTTTGGTGTGACTGGGTCTTTTTTTTCTTTCTCCATGATAAAAATTCATGTGGTCAGATGCTTCCTGTGAAGTTACTCATTTATAATATCTTAGCATAAGGCTTGCTCTGTGTGTGTGTGTGTGTGAGAGAGAGAGAGAGAGAGGGAAAAGAAACGTGGGGAGTTGGTGAAAGGAGGGGGGAAAGCGTTTTCTCGTCAGTCTCTGTTTTTGTGCTACACGTGTATCTCTGGTTCACATCTAAAAGAAATGCATAATTTTTTATTTTTCTGAAAAATATCTAGTGGATTTGAAGGAGCTTTTTTTTTTAGACAAACTTAGCATGAGGTATTAGATGTAAATTTCAGAAATGGTTTCTCTCTTATAATCCATGTCCTTGTATAGGCCAATAATAGTTTAGATCATTCTTATTATTATTTGTATCTTTGAAGTGAATGTAATTTTAAGGGTGTATTTAAGATTGATGTATTGATTTTATTATACATATTATAGTAATATTTTACACCTCACACACTGCAGTGATATCAGAGAACACGCATCCACTCACATAGCTCGCAGCAACTTCCTCTCTTACACACACACACACACACATTAGCACTAACTATAAGTGTATCTTTGTGTATGTGTATTTAATTATAATTTTTTAAAACTATATATGCATCTGTTTTTAAATTGTTCTGCTGTCTGTTACACCAGCTTCTTAAAACTGCCTTTCTTGACCTTTCTTCTTTTTTTCCAGAATTTGCCTGGTTGTGACATCAGAAACTAGAAAACAATTCAAGGTAATAACATCTCCATGCAATTTATTTTATATGTTGTGTTAATTGTTTTAAGAGAGGAGCTAAAATGCATTTTTATAGCAACTAGGCAGTTCAGGTGCTATATACCAAGTAAATGACACGTTCAGCATTTGGCATTATGGTATTAAGGCTTTAAAATCCCCTTCAAGCAATGAGATGTCCGCTTTAGATCGACACAGTGCTTGAAGTGTAAAACAATTTTTTTTTGTTTTTTTTTACTTTAAATGTACTTACATTTGCCTATCATGATTTTGAATCCCTTTTTTTTCAGGCAGTGGTGGCTTAGCCCAAGCTTCTGTGAAAGTGCAAATTCACTGTAATGTCGGTAGTGGTTTTATTTGTATTTCTTGCCTTTGAGGTGTTAGCTCAAGTAAATGCTGGAAGAAAAAAAACTATTTCAAATGCCAGCTCTTGTTTAGAAGCAATTACGAGTTTGTTGTCATTATCAAGTGCAGGCCACTGCCTCATAAAACTACTCTAGCACTGACTATTATTGTGTGCGAGAGGTTCTAGTTGTCTTTCTGTCAATCTCATAGATCACAACTAGGCATTAGGTTTTGTTGGGGTGACAGAACTAAATGGCTGATTTTGGATAATTCATCTACTCGTTTGCTGTCAAAAAATGTTTTTACTAGATAAAAGCTATTTTACTGTCAGTGACTATATCAGGAGCTAAACAGTATATAAATATTGTAGCATTGTCACAATGGCCAGTTTCTTGGCCGTGAATACATGTTGCATCACTGACACAAATTATTAGTTATGTTAGTCAGGTCGTAACCTTGGAGTCAATGTTACACCTTAGTGATCATAATAAACAGGTGCTTGAAACTGGTCATTAATATTTTATTATAATTCATATATTTTAGTATACTAATAAAGATACAAACTGTTACATTTCAAGAAAAGGATTTAATCGGTTCATCACAAGTGGTGTTGTTGGCTGTAAAATGCTGTGTTATTTAGTACACTCACTGCAGATCTCACCTTTCTGCTGTTTCACATTATTCTACTAAAAAGCAGGCATGGAAGTGTACTTTAAATATTGTTTAATGCTACAATTCTCCAAAATCAAATATAATTCAACACAATTAAATTACATTTTAAGATATAACTAAATTCTAAATCTTTAGGAAGCTGATGTGTCAAAGAAAATACTTTGTTTTTGAGATTCTGTGTTTGCCAATCTATTGTCGGGTGTAAACATATATCTAATATTACTATCAGTACTTCAGTTTTTTTTAATTATGTCTTTATTATGTTAATGAGGTCTCTCGTCAACTCTGACTTGGTAAACATTAACATGAGCTTTTTTATCGTAACTGTACATAAAGCACAGAGCACAGGGGTTGATTCAGAAAGAATAGATATCTTATTTAGCATAGGGTGGGCATAAGAGATGTCTTCTTCAGTTGTGGGGCAGCACTTTGGGAAGCTGGTGGCAGGTCTGTTCCTGCTGTTGAAGATGACTACGAGGCTGGATGTTGTCAGTGCTGAATCACCATCTTGGAGGTTAAATCCAGTCTGGTCTAGAAGACAATAGTGCTAGTTTCTTGTTTTCTTTAATATCATTATTTCTGATGGAGTTGCCAGAGGACCGGTTTCAGTATAATGCTTGAAAGTTGCTGAGAGGTGTGTCTGCAGAAAATCCAGCCTGTGGAAAATAAGAACGAAGGGTAATGTACCACTGGGAATGATGATGTAAAAATAAAATTGATTACTATTTAAAACTCTTGTAATGCCTCATTTTAGTCGTCTCTTGTGTCCTGTTTCAAAATATAATAAAAAGTAAATATGCCAAAACAGTCCAGGACCCACTGGGAATGATGGATCTTTTAAATCGTGGCATAACATTTAGTTTTGACTTGTAGGTGCTTTTTTACTGAAGTGTAAAATATTATGTGATTTAGTGTGCAATAAGTAGTAGTAATAAATATACATTTTACTTATGTATGATATCATTAAAGTTTTATTTTTATTTTTTATCAGACATCAATAAAATATATTTAGAAATGTACAATATAAGCATGCAAAAATAAGAAATAAAAAAATATCAACTCAATATGTATATCCTGAACACTTAATTGTACATTAGCAGGTCCTGCACACAAATGTAGAAATGACACTTTTTGTTCTTATTGGATACAAATGGTTTGCAGGCAAACACAGCTGTAGACACTGAAGTATTTTACTGCGAACTGACAGCATCACGTCCAGCTGCTGTGTGTATGTTCTCACTCAAGCGTCGTCCTCTCTTCTGTGTTTCAGGTGGAGTCCTGGATTTCCTCAAGCCCTGCTGAGAGAAAGAGAGAGGAGTCACTCACTCGCTCTGTGATTCTGGCAGTGCTTGGTCATGTTGCCGAGGGTGTGAGTGTGTGATTGAGAGAGAGGGACACTCTCTAGGTGATGGTGTAGCAGCACAGAATGGTTTGTGGTGATACAGCGATGCAGGCCGTGATGTGCTGCAGCATCAATTCCTGGGACCTACGCAGTCGAGAGAGAGAAAAGAGAAAGACTGTGTGTGTGTGTGTGTATGAATGTGTGTGTTGTCTTGCTTTAGCAGCATGTAAATATTGGAGTTACTCCTTGGCCAATGCCTCCAATATTGCTCGTGCTGCTGAAACAAGAAGTCACCAAACAGCACATGCACATCATCTTTTTATCTCAGCTACCAGGGCCTAGCTGGTGCAGGTAGTGGCTGACTCACTGGTACTGAAATACCTTCATGGACTGAATCATCAAACCAACATAGAGAAGCCAGGAGGACCCTCGGTCTCACCGGAATGAACTGAATGGTCAAAGGTAAAGATAGGTGCAGTGTTTCGTTTGAGAAGTTAAGTAGCTTTTGTTAAGTGTTTTTTTATGTGTTTTTCTTCTTGTTTATAAGTATTAAGTATGTAAAAAATATAATTCTACCCTTGTATCCTTTATTATTAATTTATTTTAGTTTCAATTTGTTTTGTTTTTTTAATGAAATAGTCCAAATGAAATCACTGTTTTCCTAAACGTGCTGTTGCATTTTTGTGTTAATGCAAGTAAATAATAAAACTGAAAAGAGGAAAATGTCGTCTGACCTGTCGCATACTCATTTGAACCTCGTTAGCGCACCTATGTCGCTGTATCTGTTCAGCACTTTCCGCAAGGAACGGAACTTTTATTTTGGAGCTCTCATATTTGTGGTCGCTTTTCGTCTCCACTGTATTTGAATGCTGTAGAAATGTTATTTTTCTGTTGATGAAGCAGTATAACGTGAAGTGCGTTAATGACTTTTTTTTCAAATTTTCCTCATTTCCGGTGAGTTCACTGAGAGCACAAAACTGACTCCAAATAGACTTTTCTCGATAATAACAAATAAGCAAAGTTTGAGATATTTATATGGAGATTATTCCGCTGGTTAAAATGGACGGCATATTAATATTAGAGGCAAATGTCTCCATGATCTTGCTGGAGAGGTTACGGAACGGCGCATGCGTACCATAGGCCTATCGTTCTTCTATAACATCAGCATTAAAAGGCTTATCACCAGCGACTTTCTGCAAGTTAGTTTTCGGTTTTCCCGGTAGTGGTAAATGACGTGTCATTTCATGTTAACAGTACAAGTCACTTATTGTGTAACCTTACGTGACGGTGCTTGTATTAAATAATACACAATTTTTGTGAAATTTCACACAAAGTTCTGTCGGCCTAAAAAAAGGGTGAAGAAAGACCGTATAATGCAGTGCAGGGCTCAAATAGCCTACCATTTAAATAATTTGCGCCATTTTATGAAAACAAATCAAAGAAACATTTATGAGCAGGCTAAATCATCTTAGCACATATAACCACGCTTTGGACTCGTTCTTGTCATGTCTTTGTATTCTGAGAAATTATATTAATTCGTTTTTGTATGATTTACCGGGGTCAAATAATTTAGGGTAACTTTGAGGGGTTTTATAAGGGACCCATTTACACGCAGAAATGCGTGTGTGTGTGTGTGTGTGTGTGTGTGTGTGTGTGTGTGTGTGTGTGTGTGTGTGTGTAATGTCTGAATGCTGCGTTTGCCTGATTTGATCACATTTTGTATCTTTGACAATAAAGAATTTTTTTTATTGACCAGCACTTAAACCCGTTGTTGCCTTTAGCTCGTAATACGATCAGACCCATTTACACGCAGAAATGCGTGTGTGTGTGTGTGTGTGTGTGTAATGTCTGAATGCTGCGTTTGCCTGATTTGATCACATTTTGTATCTTTGACAATAAAGAATTTTTTTTATTGACCAGCACTTAAACCCGTTGTTGCCTTTAGCTCGTAATACGATCACTTCTGACACAGGTCGATCTAATCTTCTGACGCTTCGTTTTAGTCGTATGATGCTTTTAGGCATAATCTAAAGATGGTCAGCGCAGCTGAGATAATGTAGCAACAGTGCACAGTTTCGTAGAGCTGATTTTAATCTATTATTTGGTAATGGCAAAACATACACATTTTAATAATTTAATGGAAAAGTTTTTCAAGATGAAATGGTTTACTGTCCAGTATGTAGGCTATAGGACGTAAATTTGTCTTGAGTTTATAAATTTTTTTAGCAAATGGATAACTTGATATGAGGACGGGTTTTTAAGCGCCTCTTTTCATTATTAAATAGCCTGTTTTATCAGAACCTAAATTTATGTTTTCCGCGCACACTTATTTTGCTGTGTGTGATGCATTGAGAAGTCCTCTAATAAGATATAATTTTACATGGCTGTGAAAAATATGTAGGCAATTTAATTTAGATGCTTACTCTTAGGCAGACATTTACATAAAATACATGTTTTTTGTTTAATTGCGAATAGACTGATTTTTACAACTAATTGCAGTTACTGGTCATAGTGTGTAGACCAGTTCCGAAGGGGAAAAAAGTCCGTCTATTTTTTTTTTTTTTTTTAGTGTGTGTGTTTATGTCGGGGAAACTTAGGTATGTCCAAATAAATTCACCTTCATATATTACAGCTCTCGAAATTGTCTCTGCATACAGCTGCTGATTTGCACGCTCTTTTCATTCAGTAAACAAAAGAATGAGATTGAAGTCTTAAATCCTTACGGCTCTTTGCCGAGTGCCTTAAATGTTAGATGCAGGACAGTGCATATGTAAAAGCTTAACGTAATTTTAATAAATACAATGTGTATTTTATTCGTTTATTTTGCTATCTCGACAACCATAACACTTTGTCCAGGAGTTTTGAGACATGTGCAACTATAGGCTAATTGCTGATGTTCCTTATTGCTGCATCATTTATCAGAATGCAAGGTTGTTTTGCTATTTCATGATGCGCCGCATGATACACTTTCATTTATGCGGCCTAGTAATTGAAATTTAACAGTGATCATATTATTTCGTGTATCTGGTGTAGGCTATCCGGTTATATAATGGGCAAATGCTTGTTTGCAAAAAAGTAACAAAACTAATGCATTTCGAATTTTGCAATTACAGGACAGAGACGCTAAAGGGATTTATTTTTGTTGCGGCGTCGTAAGTCATTGTCGACGTATGAATGCATTTAATTTGACAAATGTAAAAATAATTAAGCATAATGCTAGAACTTTAATAGCATACATATATGACGGGAAATGTATTTGGAGTCTCATCCCTATAGCAAATTTAAACAGTAAAAACAAAAACAGGATAAAATGGCAAAGTGCAACTCTGACACGTGACAAAAAAAAGACCTAACATTTAAAGCAAAAAGAAATAGCCTACACGTGTGTTGACATGATTGCCTTTTTTTCTCAAATAGGCCTAATAGTGAGGTATACTGGTGTAAGATAGATAGGCCTATGTGGTAGAGGGAAGATAGTGTCGTTATTTTAAAGACACAATGTTACATTTGTTTAAAACGAGAGAAAATCGAAGAACTGGAATTACATAACATGGCGCCATTTCAGAGTGAGCTTCCTATTTGTCGGCAATGTGTTCTGCAGGCTTCAGAACAATTTAGATGTATTAATAAATTCGCTGTTGTTCAATTTACTCCAAGTTATGTAAGGTTTTATTTTGTAAAGTAGGTTAAAGTAGACAATTTCACTTTTCATCCCCCAGTTCGCCTGGCAACAGTCGGCTAAATATATGTTCAGGGACGTGCGCAGGGCTCCGGTGGTGACGTCGTGCCAGAGCAGTCGTCCGAGAGGCTCTCAGGATTCCGGTTTAACCGGCGAAAACGGGGATCCCTTCACTCTTTTCTTTTTCTTTAAAAAGTCCTGACTCTGTGTTTAATGGTGCACGTGCATGTCTCTCCTGGGTGAAATTGTAAATATTACAAGGCATTAATGAGGTCTGATTTTTTTTGGTATAAAATAATAAAATAATTTCCCCTCAAAACACGAGTCTATTAGATTAGCCAATAATGTTCAGATAAAGTTTTGTTACGGCACTAATAATTTCAAAACTTTCTCTTAATGGCAAATGCTATTGCAACATTTAAGCTATATTATCGCAATATGTATTAAATCAACAACAAAACAAACACATAGCAGTATGCAAGTTCATTCTGAGTGAAAAATAATAATAAAAATACTGAAGAACTGAACTTACTGTCCTGGTACTAGACTGACATTCAGTTACGTAACGTTTAACCTTGCGTCTCCTGATAACTTGCACTGAGTAGATAAACGATATCAATGCACAATCGGAATGTGTTCCTCTTCTTTAGTTTTTTTTTTCCAGTTAATTTCCAATACTGGCGTTTCCTAAACTGCAATAAAGCATAATATATTAAAAAGTGAAAACTTGTATTCGAGAGGATCGTTTGGAGATTAAGTATACAGCTCTTATGTGACTTAAGTGAACAAGCCATTTTATTAAATGTAAGATTTGGGAATTGTTATCCCATTAGTAAACAACGATCCATCCACACTTGATTTCCCATTTAAAACCAACAGACAAAATCAGTGCAATTTACTAGCACACAAATGCTGACTTGTATATATGAATCAGCCGTTCTTGTTACACATTCAAAAACAGATACAAACTAAATTTTCCCAATGCTACAAATCTACGGGATTTTCTAGATTGGCACATTGTAGGACATAAAAAAGTACCTAATGAATGGCGTTATACTGTAAAATCAGCTGAGGAAATCTGATGTTGTGTTTATCAGGTCCATGATACAGTTCCGACACAGCTCGGTTAGTAGCGTGCAGATCGCTTCCGCTTCGTTCCAGCACAACCCAAGCCAGCGCACAATCTCTCCAGGACAGGGCAGAGAAAAGCCACCGAGTGCGACCACCTTATCCTGGAAGCTCAGAGCGAGACAGTCCGACGGGAGAAAGTTCAGCGCTGGGAGACACGCACATACAACCAGAACAACTCTCCACAGCACGCGGGAGTAGCGCGGAGCGGCAGCAGGGGGCAGCGAAACCAGGTAGGTGCTGCTCTCGTAGGGGGCGCACAGCTTGTCCACCTCTCCAAGACGCACCCGGTCCCATTCCTTCACATCGAAGCTCTGCAGGCCAAGCAACCCCACGTCCACGTCAGTCCGCGACGGCACCGGCGTTCCCCGAATGACGCGCAGCTTTTCCCTGAAGTCCTGCATCTGCTGGAGGAAAGTGAGCGGGTCCGAGAGCGAACGGAAGGATTCGGCGATGCTGAGCGCACGCTGCTGCTCCTCGAGCGCCGAGCGGAGCTGGTTGATCTCGGGGTCAAAGGTCTGCATGACCGCGAGCTTCAGAGTCTCCAAGTCCGAGAGGATCTCGCTCCGTTTGTGCTCCAGCGTGCGTAAAAGTTTGTCAAAGTACTCTGAGACTCGATCCGCGTCCCGCGAGACCCTCTCCAGCGCTTTCCTCTTCGCTCCTTCTAACGATTCCAGGCACGAATGCACCTCCGCGCCCCTCCAGCCCTCCACGACACGCAACAACTCCTCAAACGCGAGCTTCTCGCGTTCGTACGCCTCCTCCAGCGCGCAAAACTTGTGTCCTTTATGATCGCCTGTCGTGGCGCAAAAGCCACAGATGAGCTTCAGGTCCGTGGCGCAGAAGATGTTGAGCGGCTGTCCACTGTGAACTCGGCAGAGAGACATCCTTGGCATCACTCGAATCCTGTTGTACTTCTCCACGATGCCACGCAGGGAGTAATTGACTTGCAAGCTCGCGATGCCGTTGTGCACGGTCTCCTTTCGACAGGTCGGACATTTGAACGGCGGTCTCCAAGCAGGGCTCCGGTTACCGTCCAGGATGCCCTCCAGACACTTCTTGCAGAAGCTGTGAGAGCACGGCAGAACGCGCGGATCCTCGAAAAGACCGCAGCATATTGGGCATGTGAGGTCCTCCTCCAAGAGCTCCATCGTATCCTAAAGTGGAAAAAGACATCAATATGAAAGATTGTCGGTGGCATGACACATCAGTGCAACTTTCATCATCTTGGCAGGCGTCTTTCTCGTGCATCCCACACCGATTGTGAAGTCTAGAGCACTCAGTGCTGGCCACTATCATTTTGGACATCATCTACATTACGCGCAATAAACCAAATATAATGTTTGCTTTTGCAGAATGCGTTACGAGTCTACAGTGAATACATAATAGAACCAAATTGGCTGAAAATGAGAAAAACTGCATCCATGTGAAGCTTAGCGTGCAGTTTTTTTTTTTAAAGAATCAACATCATCTGCATCGATCAGAAGATATTTTTCAATGCATTGCAAGCGATTCTGTGGAAGAGGCACGACAGGTTAACCAAATATAGTAGGTTAGATTGCCTGATGATGAAGACTCCTGAGCGCACCAGTACTTCATTTTTAATTGCCGCATAAGAAGTTTCGTGCAGGAATATCCGAGGACTTGTCCAACAAACTTCAAGCATTGATTTAGAAAAAAGATTCCCCGCCGTCGAGTTGTCAAAAATGTTTCTCGGTTCGCCCGGGTCCAGTTGTCAAGGTATTACTACGGCTGTGGCAGATTTTGCAGGCGGAAAGCATCAGCAATTGGACCAGAAGCGCACTAGATGCTTAGGCAGTATGCAACGCAAACATGGCTCTTGTTGCTGTGCAGACTTCGCCCTTTCCAATTGGGAAATTTTAACTAGTTCAGGTCAAGTCAGTATGGCCAGGCAGTTAAAAAGAATGCGCACAAATAGCTAATGAATAGTGCATCTAAAGACAGACATTTCAACGCCACATTCAGCGTAATATCCGCGTAGCGAAGTGTATTTGCAGACTCGGGCGCTTGAATACACGTTTTGCGCGGTGAGAAAGAAATGCAGAGGATTCCTTCATTCTTGGATGGGGTTGCTGCGGGGGAGCACTCACTCGCTCCTAGATCAGCGTTTCTCTACAGATTACGTCAATACTGGCGTTACCCTTCATCTACCCACATAAACGCCTAATTCGTCTATTCACTGAGCTACAGTAACGAAGTGATTTTCGGTTACATCTACTCATGGTTTACAGACACAGACAACCAAAAAGCACGTCGGGTTTTCTTCCATAAAGATGATCCTTCATCACGCCACTTTGGTCGCATATGCCCGTGCCATGTGTCAGGGTCTTGACGCATCGATAACCAATCGCTACCGAGTCACGTGTCAAAATATTTTGACCTCGATTTTTCTTCCCCTGTTTCCATGCCATCAGGAAGAGAAGGACTTCCGAGGCGCCGCGCTCATTGGTCGAGTCAGGGATGACAGCGCGTGCAGTGACGTAATTGGCCACGAGAGGGCTCAGCGAAGCGGGTTGTCTTAGAAATCTAGGATAAGCGCTTTTTATGATTGTTTGTTTTTATTTAGTGTATGTTAACTCGATAATAACACAGACCAAAATTCACAAGAGGGACGCATACATTCAAAAACATAACATTTTATCCCAGTCCAATTCAACACTATGGTATATGGTACGTTTTATTGGTGATTTTTTGGTTAAGTAACAAAAGATGTTTTGGCTTTGAACTTTAAACTTTAAACACCTTGCGTTATATGCGTGTCATATGTTTACCTGTCATAAAATAATGTACAAATATATGTGACCCTCTCTGTGAAATCCAGGCTAGAGTCTCAAAATCTAATTATGAGAGGAGAAGCATCAAAGATTGATTTTAACCATTAATTTCACTATGATTTTAATCTGACATGGCCTTACAGTCAATATTAAAGATATAAAGGTTACATTTTCACAGAATGTTCTTTACCTTGTGAAGGATGATTTTATGTAGTAAACATTAAGTCACAAATAAGAAAATGACTTTAGCTGGGTTTTCACAGCCAGGGTCACATATTCTCTAACTCTTGGTGAGGTGAAAGTGGCCAAAAAATCCTCCAGTTTAAACGGTTGCAATGACCTCGTCGCGGTGTATTTTCAATTCAAAGGCTATTAAAGTTTCTCAGAGTGATTATAGGAATGTACAGTTTTATCCAGACCGCTGATGGGGTGTCACGCAAGCAGCTTTTGTCACCAGCTGTCTGTAACTTTTCTCTACCCTGGTCAGGATGGGCCATTTGCAGTTGTTTGTGATTGCTGGATTTGTAAAATCTACATTTTTATAGAGATTGTCATTTTCTTACATTTCCTGTCAACCCTAAATGTTAAGAGGTGCACTTTAAAATTATGAATCACATTTACCCTGCAAAAGAATTTTTAAGAGTAAGATTTAATATTGGGGACTCACTGAAAATTGGGACTTTTGTTTCTTCCAGCCACTTTACAAAGGCCTTAAGTGTTACAGACCTTTTTTAATGATCAAATTATTATCTTTTACTCATGTCTTTCCAAACCTATATGACTTTCTTTTTACTGCCGAAAACAAATAAATATTTTGAGAAATGTCATACAATGGAAGTCAGTGTTAATGCAGTCATTGGGCTCCAATGTTGTTTGGTTCCCAACATTTTTTTCGACATAACTTCTTTCATGTTCTGCAGAAGAAATAAAAAGTCATACAGGTTTGTTACAGCATGAGGGCAAGCAAATGATGACAGATTTTTCATTTTTGGGTGGACTAGTTTAAATAACATTTAAGAATGTGCAAGTTGTGAAAGGGAACATATCACACAACCAATTTTTAAGTTTTATTGTTAACAGCATGGTAATGCAGCTACATAAAGGCAATGTGCTTTTCAGAAAAGGTGCTCTGAAAAAGTTTTTTCCTGTAAGAATTGTCAAGTCTGATTTTCAGTCCCCAAAAAGTCTTATGGTACATTCCACAAGTGCTGTATTTAATAAACCTAAGTATTCTGTCTCTATGTCAAAGACCTCTGTTAAAGTGTGAAATGACAATGACTTCTAACCAAATAAAATAGAGACAATCAAGCACCGCTACAAAAACAAATTGTTATATTTAGTTAAAATTCTAAAAGTGTCCCTAGATCTTTGGTTGTTAATTGGAGGAATAATGTGGGTTAGCAATAGTAGTAATTCCATATATAGCCTATGTTTATTGCATATAGAGAGAGAGAGAGACATAGATTTATTAGTAAATAAATTGCGTTCTATTCATGTGCCACAGAAACATTCAGCATCAGCCAGTAATATTCTACTAAACATGGATGGGTGAGTAACTCTTTGTAAACCCCCCAATGCAGACTCTAATTGTTCCTATTGTCTTGATTTCTCAGCAGGTCTAGACATTAGTGATGACGGATAGTAGGGGGTTCAGCGAACATTTTGAAAAAGCCTTTAAAAAAAGGCTCCTTCTAAGATCTTACATCCTACTGTTTTTAAGTCTTCACTGCTTTGGTGGTTCTAAACTGAGAGAACGACATTCTGTAAAGAATGTTTTTTTTACAGTTGCAACTATTTTATTTAGAAAATGACAACAGAAGAATGATCCTATCAAAATGGCATATGCAGACATATTTCATGATATTTCGGTCACTGACATACTGTAAACCCCCATAAAAAAAAACATCTAACATATGCAAACTGCAGAAATGTTCTGGACTTAAAAAAATAAACATTGAAAAAATTCATTGCTAAAAATAATAAAACATCTTAATTCTATTAGATTGTTTATATTAAACATCTAGTACAGCTTTGGCATCCCTCAGTGCTGCTTCTTTCCTCCGCAAATCCCGTTCCTCTTTCTCCAGGTCTGGAAACACAAAGAACACAGTCATTCTCATGAAACACTGCCATTTAAGTCCCCATAACAATTCTACTTTCTAATATGTGATTCATTACAAGGCACAAAGTAATGTACTCATTTATATACTTATCATTTGAATGGATAAATTCAAAGCTTACTGTTAAAGGGTTGAAATAACGTAACACTTTAGATTTAGGTGGTTACAATGAAATGCTGTACCTTGTTCCAGCTGAGTAATAATGCAAGGCAGCCGTCCAGATGCCCCCAATACTTTGAGAGCAACATCATAATCTGTGGAATATTTAATAGCTTTTCAGTTGTATAAACAAAAACCCAGCATTTTATTGAGGGTTAAAGAACAGGGATATTTCAGGTTCAATACGAGTTAAGCTCAGCTAATAGTGTTTGTGACTATATAACAGTATAATGACTATAGATCAGTGATCAACACATACACAAAAAAATTACCTGTTCCTCTTTTTACTTAAAAAAGGCAAATATCATGGTTAAAGTGAGAAACAGTATTTTAACGTTTGTGGACTGGCCTCTGTCACTTCCATCTTAAGTTACTCACTGCAACTCAGATTGTTTTTTAAAAAAAGGGACAAGTCAAAATTTATGTTTTTGATAGCAAGATTATGCCACAAATGCTGTTGATTGAGCTTAAAGGTGAAGTTTATAATATTTTTGGTTAAAACATCTCTCAACCCATTTTATTGTTCATTGACTATTATAAGTATTCCATTCATGGGTTTATCTCCCAAAAAGGGTAAACATTGAGCCTCCCCGGCACCAAAAAAGTGTGGTCCACTTAAATTCGTCAGTGTCTTTCCAGGTCAACCTATAGCAATAGTTTGGACTGTGGCTACTAGGGGTGTGCAATATTGACAAAAAATAATATCTGGATATTTTCTGGGATTTTATCGGTAACGATGATTAGACAATATTTTGCTGAGTGTGTTGGTATCTTAAGGACTGCCGTGGACAGCTGACTCCTAAAGTTTTTGATATTCTTCGTATTCTGTGTGATGGTCAGTTCACATTGATAGAAATTAATGTTTTCCAATAAGTTTAAACTGATTTTTACATTTTATGGGCATTTTTACCTTTATAAAGCCATTTTTTTCTAAAAGTGTCCATATCAGTGAATTATTAAATCAGTATCAACAAAATTAATCTTTGCAATGCAGAGGAAACACAGAATATGCATCTGAAGTGGCATTTAGATGCATTTACACACTGTTTAATGCAGGACATGAATGCATTTAACCTGCAATTACAAAATGCATAAATAATGTTTTGATATAGGCCTATTAAACATAAAATGTTGAATACTGATATTTGAAGAATTTAAATAATAAAAAGATACTTTAAATGTGAAATGAAAACCGCTAGTAGGTGGCAGCAAGTCACTGTTAATAAGCGAGTCATTGCGATTGAACCGAATCATTAAATGGTTGATTCATTCAGGAACGAATTCACCGTTATTTGCTCAGAGACTCAAAACAGTGCTGTGTTTGGAATTATTTTTTTGTTGTTAAAACACCGCATTAACAGGAAAAATGGTGTCTAAAACGTAAGTCTCTTATTTAACTTCTTGTTTATTGAAATAAATGATCACATTTGTAATCATGGTAATTTTTAGAGAAAAAAAGGCACTCTTCGTTTAAAATGTATTAACTATATGAAGTGGTATAAATATATAAATTTTCTGCCCTCGTGTCTTGAATTTGTGATCATTCTAAATCTATTTTAATAGACTGAATCATGCAGTGAAAGAACACACTCTAAATGCGTACTCACACTAGTCTCTAGACTTCACCTAATGTTTGTGTGCGCTCTGTAGGTGTAATGAATGGTTTTTGCAAAATACTCGATAATGTTAAATCGCACATCGTTAAAACAAGAATTACGATATTATCGCAGACGATATATATATCGCACACCCCTAGTGGCTAATTTAGCAGACAAAGCAAGAGGCTTTATAGCTAGTGTGTGGGACCATCGCAACGTTACATGGGAAAATACATTTAGATTGGTTTGTTAACGGCAAGCCAAAATTTAAAAAGACTTACCTAAATACACAAAGACAGACAACCAGGTAAGAGGAGGGTAAACATTGGTAATGCTTTTACAAGATGGAGAAATTTGATTCAGTGTTCGGGTTTCAATCGAGACGTTGAACTTGCTGAAGTTTCTAAACTCCAGTTTTTGCCAATTTACTGTCAAGTCCCAGATAAAATAAGTTCAGTCATGACAACTCTCTGAAAGTTTAGCATGGTAATGTACATGACAATGTATTTGCTACAGCAAATACATCCACAAACATAGCAGATCAATACAGGTGGAGCTGGGGAAGGTGGAGGGTTTCCGAAGCGCAATGCAACTGCTACAGCAAACACTAGCCAAGTACTTGAATGTTGAGCAGCGAGCTCATTGACAGCTGATGCAAAAAAGGACCAATCAGCTGCACCATGTGATAATGATGTAATTATGTCATATTTAGTTAGACCTATCAGACTACGCCATCTATCATGACAGAACTTTGGATATATCGTAAGGATATGAAAAATCGTAAGGGTTTGAGGTTGTTTGAAAACATTCCTTGTTTTTGTAATTCCAATATGTGACGCTAGTAGCGCAGAAAGTCATGACAACTCTCTGAAAGTTTAGCATGGTAATGTACATGACAGTGTACATGCTACAGCAAATACATCCAGATGCCTCTTCGCCTTTAACTTGTATTGAACCCAGAATATTTCACAAAACTGGCTTGAATCAAGGCTGTTCTCACCTTGGTGGTTGGCTTTCTGTGACTGCACTCTTTCTCCTAGGCTGCTCAGCTGAGACACGAGCTCTGAGAAGATTTCTTTAGTCCACCCGGCCTCATTACATCTGGTCCAAAATATGGTGGCACTGGACTCGGATGTCACTGTAGCACCCACATCAGAACCATCTGCTGCAGCGAGATGACCTGGTGATGAAGAAACCCCTGTCGAAGGGACTGCTGGAACGTCTACAGTGGGCCTTGAATGCTGAGGTGACCCGGGCTGACCTGAGGGATCACAGGTGAAATAGTCCAGGGTAGGCAGAGAGTAAATGGTACCTGGTGAGACAGGGTCAGTGGTTGGAGCTCTGGGTGGTGGAGAAGTTCTGTTTGTGGATGGTGTTTCCTTTTGTTCAGGAGCAGTGACAGACCCAGGTGAGGTAGACACAGCCGCTGGGGCTGCGCCGGCAGGTAAAGAAGGTTCTAGACTGTGCTCTGAAACACCGAGATACTGTTTTTAAAAAAAATATTTCCACAGGTTTACGCCTCATTGAAATGACAGCTGCAGGACAATAGAAGAGAGATGAACACACCTGATTCTGCAAAGGGTCCAGAGTCCAAAATAACGCTACAGGGAATAGTGATATAGTGCATTTTTGATGGTAACAAACTCTGAGACTCTTCCTGAGACAGAGAGAGAGAACAATGTAAGCAAGTACACTGCTAGCTGCAAGCAAGTTAAAAGAGCGACTGAGTATAGTGGTGAGTACAATACACCATTCAAAAGTTTGGGTCAGAAAGGTTTTTTTAACAAAATAAATTAATTATTTTATTCAGCAAGGATGCAACTTTTCCCTCAGAAGAATAAATTACATTATAAGATTTATTACAATAGCAAACAGTTATCTTAAATTGTAATAATATTTCACAATTTTACTGCATTTTTGATTACACAAATGTAGCCTTGGTGAGCATAACAGACTTCTTTTAGAAACATTAAAAATTATTTTGAACAGAAGTGTAACTTTACTGGATGGTGATGAGCCTTATTGTAATAGTTTATTAAAAAAGTGTTTTATAAAAAAAAAAAAACTATGGTGCAAGATATAAAAAGGGTCCAGAGTCCAAAATAACGCTACAGGGAATAGTGATATAGTGCATTTTTGATGGTAACAAACTCTGAGACTCTTCCTGAGACAGAGAGAGAGAACAATGTAAGCAAGTACACTGCTAGCTGCAAGCAAGTTAAAAGAGCGACTGAGTATAGTGGTGAGTACAATACACCATTCAAAAGTTTGGGTCAGAAAGGTTTTTTTAACAAAATAAATTAATTATTTTATTCAGCAAGGATGCAACTTTTCCCTCAGAAGAATAAATTACATTATAAGATTTATTACAATAGCAAACAGTTATCTTAAATTGTAATAATATTTCACAATTTTACTGCATTTTTGATTACACAAATGTAGCCTTGGTGAGCATAACAGACTTATTTTAGAAACATTAAAAATTATTTTGAACAGAAGTGTAACTTTACTGGATGGTGATGAGCCTTATTGTAATAGTTTATTAAAAAAGTGTTTTATAAAAAAATAAACACTATGGTGCAAGATATAATTTTTTTTTTTTTTTAATTCTTGTCACTTTTGGTGTCAGTTTTGCCCAAGAGGCCTGGTTAATTTGTTCCTCTGCATTTAATGTTGCTGGCTTGACAGTTTGTTACAATTTCTAGCTATGGGAAAGTTTTCCAAAAAGGTATGGGGGAGCTTTGTTTCATTTATAGATCATCCTCAAGCCTTGGATCTTTCTTGCCATGTATCAGACTGATATGCATGTAGCAAACAATACCTTTGTTCCGAAGTGCCAGTGGGCCTAGTGTTGTGTTTTTGTTGTCATTTTTGACATGAAAATATCAGTAAATACATCTGCTTGTTTACGGTGTGACATGAGTGTGATGTGTTGTGTAGAGAGACTCACTGAATCAATGTCGGTGTCATCGTCAGCTTCTGAAAATAATGAGATTGTTTCTTTACAGTAAGGAATGATAAATGATACTTCTCGTAAAAATTTTTTTTTTTTCAAAAATACAAACACATTTGTACCTGTGGTTGATGGATTACGTTTTTCACACGGCCTGCAGATAAAGGAAAACACAAAAAGTTTCTTTACATAACAACGATTGTACGTTTTTGCCAAAATACCATGGTACATTATGGTATTTTTGTATTTGTATTGCTTTCAAAATGGTTCTAAATCCTAAACATACCTTGTTTTTTTAGGCACAAGAGTGGACTGCCATTAAAAGGGAACAGAGAAACACTTCATTGCTACAATTTTACTACCAAATGTTTTTAAGATTCATTTAAAATCTTTCTTGTTAATTCACCCAAAAATGCCTTTTTTTGCATTCTCTCACCCTCATGTCTTTCTAAACCTGTACGACTGACTTTCTTCAGTGGAACTAAATAAAACAATTTGAAAAAATGTCTCTGATATTTTGTCTATATTAAAAGTCAATGGGGTCAAGTCTTGCTTTGAAAGCCAATAAAGGCACACAAGACTGGAACAACTTGAGGGTGAGTAAATAATGACAGAATTTTCATTTTTGGGGAACTGTCTCTTCTAATTTGAACTGAGCAGTTTCAGTGAAGTTTAATATGATACATTGGTACATATGGACACATATCAAACAGTCCAATTTTTTATGATAAGAGACTCACATTGGGCTGTTTTTGAAGCATAGAGTCTTCCAGATCTGACACCCCTGGAGCTACTACACGGTCAGTGCTGGTTGGGCTTTCATCATCTAAAACAGAGACTCATTGTTTTGATTTTAATGACTTTTTATGCAGCCCAAGAAATATCTAAAATTCATATTCCCATTTTGACAGAGAAATAAAACTAAATATACAATAAACACCTGAGTCTAGAATGCTTTTATTTTTTCCCCTTCTGGGCTTTCCCGCTTTTAGCGATCTAAAAAACAAAACAAAACGCAGAATCATTACAATAACACTGTGATTACTAACTAGACAATATTCCATAATTAAAAGTTTTCTACAGACTACTCACCGAAACGTACATGCTCTGTACATATATGGATAACGTTTACTCTGTTATTAAATAAGATTTTAAAAAAAGACAAAATTAGAATAAGCTGTACTTTTAACCAGTTTTTCAAGTAGGTTTGTCTATTTGTCTTCTAAACAAATTCTGACAAGATCATATCTGTTTGTTGATACAGTATCTTTTGTTCCTTAGCATAATACAAGTAGAATGAGCATCTGTGAATACAATTCTGTAGCCACTCATCTCTGAGATAAGGCCTAATAAATGACACATTCATTTTTATTTTTTAAATTAAGTTACATTAATGAACTATTAAAAGGTAAAACCAAGTTAAAATGTATGTTATAAAGTGATATTTAGTGATAATAGTACAGAGCAATTTTAGTCTATTTTCTAGACGGTGATGATGACTGTACTGAGGAAAACATCAAGTGTCTTCATGTAGAGGAAGTGTGTGTGTGTGTGTGTTCTGACCATGCCATGCAATTCTCCTGGATTGTCTACTGATCCACAAGCCTCCTGAGCAGACGTTAAGTTTAATGAACCTAAACAAACACAAATGCATTTCATACTAGAAACGGAAACACTTTATAATAACGTTCATTAATAAATCATAAACAAACATTATGTAATGCTTAACGGATCATTACTATTAAACAAAGATGTAAATGTTAAATGTAAAAATGAGCATTAGCTAAAATGTGAACTGAAGTTTAATGACATTTGTAAGCATTCAAAAGTACATGCACAAATCATTTGTATATTTTTAAAACGCATTGAAAGTTTAATGACATTTGTAAACATTAACTAATGCTCCGTTAAGCATTATATAATGTTTGTTAACGATTTATTAATAAAGCTTTAAATCATTGTAAACCATCTGTCAAAATCATTTGAAGATTTAAAAAAAAAAATCCATGATCATATGAATTTAAAGTTTAATGACATTTGTAAGCATTTCAATTGACATTAAATAATGATCTGTTAATCACCTGGTAATGTTTAATAAGGACATTGTCTCATATTTCTAGATATGTGAATATATATTAAGTAATGATTAGTTAAACATTATATAATGTTTGTTAATGATTTATTAATGAAAGTTATTATAAAGTGTAACCGAAATAAAAAATATGACCCTTTACTTACACACACTGTGTTTATTTGTACCTGTGGTTGATGGACTGGGCTTTGCACGGGGTCTGTAAATAGACAGAGAAACTCGTTGAATTTTTTTGTCAGTACAATGGACGACAACAGTCACATCTCATCCTAGAACATGTTTCAGGGTGGATACTTTCTGTGGATTAATAAAGTTCAGCATACCTTTTACTTTCAGGATCCGGAGTTGACGGCTATTGAAATTAAAAAGAGAAAAATTACAACAGTATTACTAACAAGTTTTCAAATAGCCACGTCTTTGCTAAAAGTTGTGAATTTGCAGTTTGAATTCAATCTTTACAAGATGATGAGTAATTGGAGACATTTAAATGATGCATCAAGACAGATTATGTCATGAAAACTCACTTTGTTCTGATTTGGAGGTGTAAAGTCCTCTATATCTGACTCTACTGGAGGATGCAAATATTCAGTGTCATCATCTATGATAAAAATATAATAGTCCAGTGTTATTAATGTTTCACATTTACATTACAATATCTGTCATCAACATGCCAAAAACATGTTGACAAATAAACACAAAGATCTTTGAACAAAAACACTACTTTTTGTAACTGAACTGGGTTATTGAGTATTACTGCAGTACTGTTTAATTTAAAGCTATAATAAACTGTATAAACAATTACCAGAATCTAACAAAATAAATGACACGTTCTTCTTCTTTTTGGGCAAATTCGCTTCTGATGACCTAAAAAAGTGCAAACACAAGATCATCTGAAATAATCCCACTGTAATTAATAATGTGACAATGTTCTGTGATTAATCCAGTTCTGACGAGGATGCACACACTCTGCACACTTACCCTGTAGACGAATCAGAATCTCTCTATTAGTAAATGAAGAAAAAGGAAAGACAGGAAATTACATCCAAAATTTCACATTGTAATCTAAACTAATTACATGTCTTTATTTCAGAATTGTGCAGTGATGTTTTAAGATGAACAGTAATGTGGTTAGGTAAAAGTCCATGTATGCGTTTATGAAGAGGCTGTATGTGTGTGTGTATGTGTGTGTGTGCATGCTGACCCTTTCCGGCCTTTTCATGTTAGGCCTTCGACTGTCTGGCGAACCTTGTAAACAAAAACGCCAACTCAGAAAATTTGACAATAAATCTCACATTGACATTTCACATTTTCACACAAGTTGCTTACAAATTTGCATCACTAAAACAAATACAATTACAAAAAAAAAATACAAAATCAGTTTATGATAGAATATCTGAATTTATAATTGAAACACTTACTTTTTGGGAGGGATTCTGGATCATGTAATTCACAGAACAGTCTAAAATTAAACATTAATTAGTTTAATTGTACTAAATCTAAAACAAAAATTGCTAAAAAAAATTATTTCATCCTACATAAAATGGTCTTCAAGGGCTCTGGCATGATCCTCTATGGCGCAGGGATAATGGTACGAGCGCTTACAACGTTTTACATCACATCCCGCTGTAGCACCGCTTTTTTTACAGAGGTGGCAAAGCTAGAAATAAACACACAGCAGTTATGCATTCACAGAGAAACAACACTAGAATATGACGACCGTTTGGTCACAGTTTACATTTAACGTACAGAAATATTCATGTTAAAGTATAATGTTGTACTATGCTGAACAATACAAATTACCATTGCAATCAAAATAATTCAACCCTCTGGAGACGGTTATCTGTAATAATTTGCAAAAGTAAGACAAATTAAAAGTGATAGTCTATATATAATGTAATGTTTTTGTAGTATAGCTGTCATCATTATTCAAACCCTATGTAACAGTGCTGTTCTTATCTCATATGCGTATGGTATGGTACAAAATTGTGTTAAAACACAATTAAGCTTTGGAAGCTTTATAACAAACTGAATTAGCATACATAAATACACATACATAAATTTATTCCATGCATGTGTTAAAGGGGTCATCGGATGCCCATTTTCCACAAGTTGATATGATTCTTTAGGGTCTTAATGAAAAGTCTATAACATACTTTGGTTAAAATTTCTCAAAGGTAGTGTAAAAACACCTTTTTTACCCTGTCAAAATCAGCTCTGTTTTCAGCAAGCCATTCTAGTCCATGTTGCTTTAAATGCTAATGAACTCTGCTGACCCCGCCCCTCTCTTCCATGGGGTGACGAGCAGACTGGAAACTTCAGCCGCGAAACTGGCTAACTAGCACGTTATTAGGAAAGGCGATTTGCAAAGATTCATAAAAAACACTTATACTCACTTCTGTTGATGAAGCTGGATCCCGAATGATTCGCGCGAATATAGACGCATTTAGGCAGATCAGGATCGGCGCATTCCCTTCAAAACGAAAGTAACTTCCTCTGCGTCTTCAGCGGCTCAGATGTCGGGAGTAAATGACGACTGCTATATTCATTATTTCATTCAACAACAAACACCTCAGTCGCTTAATCGGAGACGCTCTTGTCTTCCCCTGCACCGGAGTCGACACAATGACGGACTGATGACAGCTCACTCAGGGCGGGTCTAAGATAAGACGCTAGTGTCAATCAACTATTGTGGGAGGGGCCTGTGCAGAACTACGTCATTCTGACAGGAATCTCAGAACAGCCTGATTTGAGATGGGGATTTTAAAATAGGGATTTAAAAAAAAACACTGAGTGGATTTTATTCATTATAGTATGGATGTGTACACACACTTCCAACACTCATTTATGTTCAAACAACTTGTAAAGTGAATTTTGCATCCGATGACCCCTTTAAAGTTAAGTAGCAAAGATGGCCAAGTCATTAGAGCTCTCACAAAAGCTACAGAGAAGAAATTATTCTATTACACTGGAAAGTCTATGGCTACAAGAAGATTTTCAAAAAACTAGAGACAAGTTCTCAGAGACACAGCTTACAATGTAAAAGTTAAAAGTTTAAAATGTGTTGTACCAGAAAACCTTTGAAGATGTTGAAGAAAAAGCACAATATCATCAAAGGGAATAAAAGGTTTGATTAGAGCAACTGAGACTTCTGTTGATGAAGCTGGATCCCGAATGATTCGCGCGAATATAGACGCATTTAGGCAGATCAGGATCGGCGCATTCCCTTCAAAACGAAAGTAACTTCCTCTGCGTCTTCAGCGGCTCAGATGTCGGGAGTAAATGACGACTGCTATATTCATTATTTCATTCAACAACAAACACCTCAGTCGCTTAATCGGAGACGCTCTTGTCTTCCCCTGCACCGGAGTCGACACAATGACGGACTGATGACAGCTCACTCAGGGCGGGTCTAAGATAAGACGCTAGTGTCAATCAACTATTGTGGGAGGGGCCTGTGCAGAACTACGTCATTCTGACAGGAATCTCAGAACAGCCTGATTTGAGATGGGGATTTTAAAATAGGGATTTAAAAAAAAACACTGAGTGGATTTTATTCATTATAGTATGGATGTGTACACACACTTCCAACACTCATTTATGTTCAAACAACTTGTAAAGTGAATTTTGCATCCGATGACCCCTTTAAAGTTAAGTAGCAAAGATGGCCAAGTCATTAGAGCTCTCACAAAAGCTACAGAGAAGAAATTATTCTATTACACTGGAAAGTCTATGGCTACAAGAAGATTTTCAAAAAACTAGAGACAAGTTCTCAGAGACACAGCTTACAATGTAAAAGTTAAAAGTTTAAAAGTTTAAAATGCGTTGTACCAGAAAACCTTTGAAGATGTTGAAGAAAAAGCACAATATCATCCAAGGGAATAAAAGGTTTGATTAGAGCAACTGAGGAAAAACCCTCAATTTACGACCAAAGACTTTGCATGTTTCCTCCTTTCATCAGGTCATCTTCAGAGTATAAGAAAAACACTAGACAAGCATGACCTTCATATTGAGATCTTGCCTAATGCCCCTCTTGAGCAAGAAGAACATAAAAGGCCCACTTGAATAGGCTAAGATTCATTTGGATAGACCTGTGGACTTCTGGAAGAATGTCTTATGGAGTGATGTAACCAAACCTGTGGATCAGCAGTACATCTGGTGCAAATCAGGTAAAGCTTATGAGCAGAAAAACACCATCACCACAGTCAAACATTGTGGTGGACCGGTCTTGTTATGGGGCTGCTTTGTTGTTGCAGGAAGTGCTAACATTGACTGTATGAAAGACATAACATATTATTTGAAGTACTGGTCATTTTGGAAAAGACTGATGCCTTCGGTGCAGGGACTGAAGTTTGATGACCAATGGACTTTCCTGCAGGACAATCATCCCAAATTCTACATCTAAATCTACTTAAAGCTTGGTTCAGGGATCAGCAAGGGATCTTTTTCAAGCAAAGAACGGGCCAAGATTCCAGTAGAGATGTGACAGAAGCTTCTAAGCACTTACAGGCAGCATTTGGAGGTTATAAAGAATAAAAGATACAGCACAAAATTTTTTTGTACATGAATGCCAATTAGATTTTTTTTTTCATTTTCCATCAACTTTACATTCTCACGATCATTCTTAAATGTCCAATAATGGCTTACCAATGCCTTTGTTGAACTGGTTTCATACAATTTTGTTCTCGGCAGCAAAACGCCTTGCAGGTCAAGGGGGTTGAATAATTTTGATTGCAACTTTACATGTATTGTACAGAATTTTCTAGTTTCAGAACATGTCACATAAAATACCCCTAATACACTTATATTTTACAGGTAAGATGCAGTTTATTAATATCTATTGTAAAGGGGTGTGAATCGGCACTGGTTTCATGATTCGATTCAATATCACGATGCATCATTATATCAAATTTATTTTGTGCATTTTTATTAAATTATATAAGCAGGTTTTTAAAAAAGAATTATAAATTAATAATAAATCAAAACAGTTGTTAAGAATTTAACCAAGTAAATATAGCTTCAAAAACATACAAGCAAATATAAAGAAATAAAGGTGGGAAAAGACAACAAGTGATAAACAAAAAGTACGTTCAGTATCTGAGAGTGCTTTAAGTATCCGAAAGTTTACAGACAATCATAGTTGGGTTTTTCTTTTTTTCCTCAGCATTTCCGTTTGATTATCATGAGTTCATAGACAGTTAATGCACAGATCTATTTCGACATATCAGATGTTTGTCCTGTTCTGAAAACATAACTGACCGTTTACACATCAATCTCGTAATTTTCGTATCATAAATGTATTCGGAGCTGCAAGTGCATTTAACCGCAACCGCGAGCTTCAGGACAAACAAACACAAAGCGCGCGCTGAAAGTCTGTCAGTACGTGAGTTTCGTGCATCTAATACGTACTGCATTCCAAACGGCATAAATTAAAGCATATCTAAAGTGAAAGACTGAAATAACGGCGGATGGAAGCGGTGTCAAGCAATGCGCACGTCTCGCGCATATCCTGTGCAAGCCCGCCGCGACTGTCTCCAGAGCGCACAAGTGCCATATGCGCGAGAAGCCGAGCTCAGAATCGATTTCTCAGCTTGATCGATTGCATCGATGCAACTATTAATTTGAACACCCCTACTATTGTAGTTTATCATTAAAGTAGTATGTATGGACACTGTGTTATGTAGGCTATTACACAATATATTTTGAGAAACATATTAACCAGTTAAAATTAATTATAACGTTTTAGAGGCAGTTAATGTGTGTTGTGCATATGCTTTTGCAATGATGTTTACTAGTCTTTTTCCTCTCTTCAGCTCTTTCTTTACATCTTCTACATCAAATCCAAACAGGTCGTCATAGGTGGGCGATTTATTGCAGAAGATCGCTGATGCAAACAACTGAGGACACAATAAAATAAGATAAGCATTCAAAGTTATATATAACAATTCTTAATTGACTTGCCTAGATTAAGGTGAAACACATTAACCGAATCCAAACAAAACTATGAGTAACAGCGAACAGCACTAACAACTAACTTACAGTACATTTTCGTAACGATGCAATATGAAAACATAGCCTACTTACCAAACAGTTTTGATGTGCGGAGATGTTTCCTTTGGAGGAGAGAGGCCCTGTGATTTCAGTCTCGTCTGATTTCTCGCAAAGTGCACAAATAATTTTATTCTGAGATTGAAATTGATCCGATCCCATGTTGAGCTCTGCTTGATGACATTCATCGACGATTCAAGTTTTTATTGCAATGTTCCTTTAAGTTTCGTTTTCATTTTATTGTGTGGAAGGCGGGTCACTTTGATCTTTGTCATCTTGCGTGCATAAAAACACTCTTGTTAACTACTCGAGCTCCAGACAGTACTCTCGATTATCTTGGGCAGTACATTCAATCGAACAGATCTTCAAAACTCAACCAAATATCAAACTAAATCAATTTATATAAAAGCCAAAGCTTTTTTTTTTATTATTTCCTGTAATCACAAACGACTGTGATTGGCCCATCATGACCGGTGCTGATTAAAAGTAACAGGTACCACGTAAATTGACAAAAGTAATTCAATCGCAACTTTTTTAATTTTTTTAATTTATTTTTATTACAAAACTTGTAGAAACATACAGAAACAGGGAAGCGAGACATGAATATATTCCAACAAAAAGCAATTATAAAAATAAAAACAGAAAACAAATATTCTGTATTTGCATGTCAAATTAATTATGATCGATACATAAAAGCGCAAAAATAAACTTACATTTTTTTTTTAGAAAAGTTGTCATAATACATCAAAAGTTTGGCACTCTTTTTGTTATTAGTAGTGATTTTCTTTCTTTTTTTTTTGGTATAACTGCCTGGTGTCTTATTTGCACATTTTATTATACATGAAAACTAGTTATAATCAGCTAGGATTTATAAATTAAAATACATAAACATAATTGTTTGACTGATAAACATTTTATTTTGGATTTACATTTCATTGGTAATCAGTATTATATTGCATATAAGTTCATATATTGTATATAATTTTTTTGTAAAGATAGTCCGTTTGCAATTTTTTTCAGTGAGTGCATTTATATGCTTTTGGTTATCCGATAACATTGAAGTTATTTTAGAGATGAGTAAAAAAAACTGCCTGATGCAGCCCACATTTTTCAACTGGCATTAATTTGATTACAGCATCTCCTTTTTATACTTATAGTTATGCGCTACTTTAATAGTTAATAATTAAATTTCTTTTTTTTTTATTGCAAAACTTGTAGAAACATACAGAAACAGGGAAGCGAGACATGAATATATTCCAACAAAAAGCAAATATAAAAATAAAAACAGAAAACAAATATTCTGTATTTGCATGTCAAATTAATTATTATCGATACATAAAAGTGCAAAAATAAACTTATTTTTTTTTAGAAAAGTTGTCATAATACATCAAAAGTTTGGCACTCTTTTTGTTATTAGTAAGTCTAAGAGATGAAACAAGAGAGTCCAATTCAACAAGAAAAATATGGAAAGACAAAAGGAGATTTAAGCCATTTTTGCTTATGAATGAAGAATTTAGCATTCAATATAAGAAAATTAACAACATATTCAACAGATAATAGCTTTGGATTTTCATAATAAAAGATAACATCTTTGAGGACGAAGGTAACACAGCGAGCAAGATTCATCAACATTAGAATATTTAGAAATAGACAAATTAACGGGGTACATTTTATGAAGGATTTTATAATGAATCTCCTTAACCTTGTTAGAAATACAAAATTTACTTGGCAAAAGCCAAGCCTTTTTCCAATTTATATTTGTTATAAAGGAACCCCAATAGAATTTCCTTCTTGGAGTAATCTTTCTCTTTGTCTGAAATATTTTGTGGATATGTCTGTTATTGCATTTCCGATCTAAAATACCGATACCACCCAAACATAAAGCCGGATTAACACTGTTGCCTTTACTGAATTTAAGGTGACTTTTAATTAACTGGGTTAAGCCTACTGGGATGGCTCTCATTAAAGTATTATATTCCTTTGGTGGGACTGGAAAATTATGGAGATTCATAAATTGCTCGTTAGTTAAAATATTACCAAAATCATCAAACACAGATAGAATACTGTTCAAGTTGTTATTAAACCATCTAGGGGAAAAAAAGAACAGTTATATCAGCATTATTCCAAAGAAGAACTTTGTGGGGGGAGAAACCATGGACAAAACACAATTTCCACGAAAGAAGACATTGCTGATGGAAGTTAGATAAGGAAATAGGTAACTTGCCAGGCAAGAAATTACATTTTAGTAAGAAAGACAGGCCACCAAGTTGGTCAAATATCTTATTTGGAATAAAAAACCACAGTGACATTGGATTTGTAAGGCATCTTTTCAGCCAGTTTACTTTAAAGGTGTTTACAGTATCTGCGAAGTCCAAAAAATCAAGGCCACCTTCACTTCTGGCGTTAGCAAGCACATCTCTTTTTAATTTGTATGGTCTATTTTTCCAAATAAAATCCAAAAATATTTTATTAATTTCCTTTATAGCTTTATCGTTGACAAACAAAGAAAGAGCAGAATATACAAAGTGAGAGAGCCCTTCAACTTTAGATAAAAGAACTCTACCATATAATGAAAGATCTCTCTGAAGCCAGATGTTAAAGATCTGTTTCGTTTTTATCATTTTATCAGAAAAGTTTAAATGATGTCTACTGATTGAGTTTTTAGTGATATGAATTCCTAAATATTTTACACTTTTTTTTAACTAGTATACCTCCTAAGAATATATCATCCATAATTTCACATTTTGAAGTATTAAGTTTTAGACCCGAAGCACATGAAAATTGTTCAACCAATTCCAGAACTCTTGGTAACTGATTTTTGTCCTCCAAAAACAGCGTAGTGTCATCTGCTAGCTGTGCCATTTTGATCTCCCTGTCAAATATTGAAATTCCTTTCAAATTTTCATCTTGGTTAATTCTTAGAGTAACTCTGTGGCTAAAAGAAATAAAAATGGGGAGATTGGACAGCCCTGTCTGACTCCACGATAGATGTTAAACCTCTTAGAAGTGTCAAAGTTCCTGATCACTGAGCTGTTAATACCTCTATAAAACATGGTTACAGTCTCTATAAATATTTACCAAATCCAAATAATTCTAGAGTAAGAAAAATAAATTTGTGTTCTATGGAGTCGAAAGCTTTATGAAAGTCAAGAAAGAGTATGAGACCATCTGAATGAATTAGATCGGAATAATCCAGCAAGTCCAGTACTAATCTTATGTTGTTAGAAATGTGACGGCCTTTCATGAAACCAGATTGAGATTCTGAAATAATATTGTCTAAACCATAACTTAATCTTTTAGCATATACAGAGGCTAATATTTTATAGTCTAATGTTAACAAAGTAATAGGTCGCCAATTATCGATTATTCAAGGATCCTTGTCTTGCTTGGGTATAAGAGAGAGGACTCCCTGTTTCATAGTAGCAGTAATATCTCCCTGACTGATGCATTCATTATACATATGAAATAATGGCAATTTAATAAACTCCCAAAAATGGAGATAAAATTCTATGGAAAGCCCATCTATCCCAGGGGATTTACCTTTTTTCATTTTATGTAGAGCTTGCTTGATTTCATCAATTGATAAAGGAGAATCACAAATTTGACTATATAGATCAATAACTTTAATACAATGTTTAATTAAATCAATACATTTTTCCGAAATATTATAGTTGAAATTAGAGGTATAAAGAGTGCTGTAAAATTTAGCAACAAAATCAGATATTACTTTTTGGTCTTTGGAAATGACTCTGTCAATATTAAGTGCGGAAAGAGCTTTCCTCTGACCATTTCTTTTTTCCAGGGCAAAAAAATAGCTAGAATTTCTTTCCCCCTCCTCCAGCCATTTTGCTCGAGACCTTGTATATGCACCTTTAGCCAAATCTAAGTAGGCTTCATCAAGCTCCAAATTTAACCTTTTTATTTCTAAAGTTTCCTCTTCTGTAATTTTACTTTTAGCTAGTAATGAATTAAGTTTATTAACCAACTCTGAATCAGTTTGATGTTTACTCTTTTTAATTTCTTTACTTCTTTTAACTGCTGTATGTCTAGCTTAATTCAATCGCAACTTTAAAAACATTACAATAGAGACAGAGCGCATTTAGGCCACGCCCACACCGGAGGGAAAACAATCCAACCCTCTCCACTGACTTTATATTGCAGGAAGCTGCCTCCTTGTCCTTTCACAGAACAATGCATAAAACCTGCTGTGTGACAAGGTGGTCAGTAAACAAGCTAAAACCCCCAGAACTACGTTTTTATAAGTTGTCGACCCAAAAAAACAGAGCGTTTAAGGACACAAATAGTTGTAGATGTCAGGGTATTTCACGTTGGGCCATTCACTTGGATCATTTCTCAAACAAAAGGAAGGTAAGGAAAAGGGACACTGACATAGACCAATACAATTTAGTTTCTCAATATGAAGAGTTCATTTGCAAAAACAGATAACTCAAAAATGTCAAAAATCATGTTTTTTCATTGTTCATTCAAATTAATCTCAGTCATACTGCAGTTGGGTTATCTTGATTAAGTTAAAAATAACAAAAAATACAGCTAACAACACAATAAAAACATGATAACATCATAAAACGTGGTTTTTAAAAATGGAGTTATCTGTTTTTGCAAATAAACTCTTCATATATCTCCTCCTCTCAGGTTTACATAGAGTGGTGAAATAATCCTTTGACATGGTTAAAATAATGATCGTACTTAAATCATTATATGATATATATTAAAATAGTCGGACTCGGAAATGTCATTGTGTATATTTGATCTGTTAAATTTTATCTATTAAAATAGGCAAAAGTCATTAGTCAACTATGGTTTTATTTTTATATGCATATATATAAAACAATATTCATTTGTAAATGTATTTTACATACAAATGGCACAGGGTGATCACAGTCACTTTGAGAAACAACATCTGCATATATGATATGCTTGTTTTACACATAGGTCCTAGTTTCCTGCATTGTACAGTACACAATGATATGTCACATGCTTTCACATTGGAGATCACGGGAATTGACAATAGACATGCCATATCCCAATATGGACATCATTACTGTGACCGAAACAAATACTAAGTTTTACGGGATATGAAACATGTATCACAGCATACTATGAGACAGTGTGTAAAGAGCTGGCTCAGGTGTCTCTGTAAAACACATTATATTGGTGCATTCTTAGACTACACTCTTAAAAATAAAGCTTTTTGCAAAGAACTCTTAACAACAGTCATTTTCCACAGCTCTTTGGAGAGTCAAAACGTTCAGTTAGTGTCAGTTAGTCAAGACGGTTTCTTATAGATTTAAAGAATAAAAAGGTCCTGTAAAACCCT